GACAAAGGTAAGACTAGCTAGACTACCGTCGGTGGAGTAATTTTGGATAGCCATAGTCATCTCTTTGTTAAGGTGATCTTTGATGACAGCAGGTCTGATGCGTTCACTGCCGTCTAGTCCTAAATCCAACATGGGTAAAAGCATGTGTTCTCAGTGAATTAGCAATTAGCTCTAGCTGGTGAGTGACTGCCGGGAGAGAGTTCATCTACAAAAGTGGTCATTTGAGTTTTTCGTGGTATGGGACTTCTGGTCATTATAAAATTGAAGAGGCTGACACATCTTCAGGTATTCAGTTTCTCAAGTGGATCAGATAATAAGATCCTGTCCTCATTGTTCTGAGAAAATCTGACAAATGTATATCACAATCGAGGGGCCTTTGAAGGCATATTAAGTGATTCATTATTTAGTCATCCTGATCATTTCTGAATGAGCTTAGACATATGATCGAGGAATGCCAGTAATAGCAGGCCAGTAATGACCCTCTTTAGAAGCTGACAACACGACTTTCTCAGGAAGGCCAAGATGTCAAGATGTGTCTTTGCCAAAACTGGACAGAAAAAAAATCTCAGTACAGCTCTAAGGCATGCAGAAACTGAAGCTGATGTCCAGCTCTAATCAAGTTTTTTTTCTTATTCCATTTCAGGTCCCCAAACAATGAAAGAGGGATTAATGAGTTGCCAAGGAAGTGCCTTCAAATCCACAGCAGTCATATAAACATTGTCGTTTTTATGGTGTTTCTATTTTTTTGTTGTTGTGGTTGTCATAATTGAAAATGCTGATGGACATTGTTGGTTGTTTTTCAGTGGAGTTGCTTTTTATTTACCTGTGTGTACCATATATTTGTAAGGAAACATTAATTTAATATTAAATACACCTATTTATTGAAAGGGTAGGCCTATGTAAATAATAATTTCACAATCATTCAAAATCTGATTATTTTGGTTATAAAAGTTATAACGATTGAGAGGAAGCATTTCTTTTTTTTCCTCCTTGTATATGAACTCCTCTTTCACTTTTTTGGTCTAAAAGATTTGTCATGCTCCGTCTCTGTCTTCATCACATTTTATTTGGCACTTGAGTGATTGCTGAGATCATATGGAAAGACAACAGTGGTGATAATGCACTGCAGTACTGAACAATAAAGAATATTGAAGCACAGTATATTTTGATATTATTGGGTTTTATGGGGATAAGGGAAAACATGAAGAGGCTTCAGTGTTGGATCAGCCATGTAGAGGCAGGCAGTGTGATGGGTGTGACTGCAAATGGAGCCCAAGGGAATGAACTACTTATTATTGAAAAAATGCAAATTGTGTGCAGCTTTTTGATTACAACACAGCATTCATCCCAGTCTCTGTAGTTTTATCCCCTGGTCAGTGTCATTTGGATTTGTAAAAAGCACCAAACACAACTGGATTTCATTACTTCTTGCTTCAGTGGGAATACTTGTTTCTTCTCTTTCTGGCTCAAACTTTCTGTTTCATTTTTCAACACCTTCACTGATGCAGCCTCCTCCATCCCTGCTCCTCAGAGCAGGTGTTACCTTCTAACTGGAGTTTGTTGCAAAATGTCTGGCAGGTGTTTATGTTTGTCTCTGGCAGTCACACACTAAATCATAGCTGTCAAATATCTTGGACTCAACGGGAAGTTGTGCAATTCAAGCTCACTAGAACAAGATATACTCTGGGTAATACCAAACAAAACCTTAGCAAACTCCTGAAGTTATCACATATGCAAGGCATTTTACATGTTTGCAGTTTTATATGGAGATGATCTAAACTGCATGGCTGTATTTTAATGTAACTGGATATTACTGGTTTTATTTCCTTAAAGAGACCATATTTATGGCTTTTTGGAAGGCTTGGTAAATTGCTTTCTCTAGAGTTTCTTGTAGAGTGGATAAATGCATTTTAGGAAGCATAACTATTTTGAGCGAAGTGGTTCCTGATCATAATCCAATGAATGAAGTGTGCCTGGTATTATGGACCTGGAGCCTCAGCCCACTTGTTAAACGTTTGTGTAAATTGGACAGTAATGTCCAACTTGACTTGTCTTCGTGCCAGACAATAATAGTGTCTGGACTCTTTTAAAAGATCCTGCTTGTTTGCCTTTTAGGCGTCATAAATGGGAAACAGCAACAGCTATGTAAGAGAATTAAAACAAGCTGTCACTTCCTCACAGTGACTTTCTAATGGTAGACAAAGGCATCAGAGCTGCCATTTAATTAAACTCTTGATCGTTGTGTATTTCTGCAGGGAAATACATACCCTTACCCTAACAGAGTGCTACAAAGTCCTGACCAAACAAACAGCATCCAACATTCTTCTTCTTGTCAAGTTGTATCATCTTGTGCTGAGATGTGTGCCTGGGGAATAGTTACAGTGATTGTCTGCTGTTTTTATTAGGGTAGTGAAATAAATTTTGAGCCACACACACATAGGGATGCTGATAGGCAGGGTTCTGAAGAAAACATACGCTAAGCCAAAGATTACAACAGCTCAGTTCTCACGCCAGCTTGTCTCTACATACTCAGCGGCAACAGTTTGTTACATTGGATCATGTATTATTCAACAAAGTTTGGCTTGTTGTGAGATCATTAAAAAAATCATCCATGGAAGCTGTCAAAAGGTTGTGAACTGCAATTGCACTGAAAGGACCTGTTTTCTTTGGACGTGCTGATCCTATCAGTGTGATTGTGATCTCAATGCATGCAACATGTTTCTAACTTGATATGAGATGGCCTTGTTCTGAAGGGCCATAAAATGGACGGTTGCACCTCTTCCACAAATCACAGGCTCCTTAGTCCATTTTAGAAATGTATGCTTGAACAAATTCCTGAATATTCAATATTCAGTCAAACCTGATAAAACGAAGTACTTCCTCTGTGGCATATTGTGTCATGATTACCTGGGACAATTAATAGAAAGGGGCAATGTTTTTATGCTGGAGCTATAAAAGGATTAGGCAGCTAAAAATAAAGCCTGCACCTCATGGGGATGCGCTAGGGATCCCTTTCCCTCCGGCCACGCAGGGTAGAGACACCGGATCCTAATCTGAGGAGGATATCACTTATCTGGAGACAAACAGCACAGATTAGGAGAGGAGACAGAGGATGCACTGGGGACAGCATGTGGGAGGGCTCTAACACAATTACACACAAGCACCAAATCCTTCCTCTGATACCTCTGAGAAATGCTGGTGCGATAAATAGTAAATAGAGACCAAAGCCGGGTCATTTCCTTCCTGTCAGACTACACCCGGCTGCACCAAAGCTCAACCGCATTGAGAAGAAGAGCTATGAGCTAGTCACCTCCAACTGCGCTGTTGTGTTCTTTGAAACAGATAAGGTAAAAGTTTACGGTGGTTTTTTTTCACCTTAATTCTGTATGAGGAGGCAGTGATTTGGACTGACACAAGTCTTGCAGCAGACCTTTCAAGAAATCCCAGTTCTGACTTAATACAAGCTCACCAAGTAAATGGATTGTCCGGTTTCCTGTCTTTAATTGACGTTGAAATCATACACACATTTGTAATTTGATTAGCACGTTGGCTCTTACTAAACTGTTTCATGTGCCAACTATTCAGTGGAGATTATGACTAGCATATAACCTAAAACCTAAACATGGTTGCTTATGACGTGTATCAAACTCCCCCCATCCGCAGACAAATTCTGTGGCAAAAGTAAACACTTTAATCCAATTGCTTAGACCCCAAGGCCTCATTCAAGCAAAGCACCTTATTTATAGTGACTGCAGTAACCGTGATGGCTGTAAAATTGTTGTAGAGGCCTCATTGATTCACTCCACATCTCATGATTAATTCATGGCTCTTCCTATGTCTTTTGTAGAATGCATAAATCCCTACATGAGTCATAAATAATATACATTCAGATAATGCAGCCTCCATTAGAGATTTAACAGTTGAATTGTCATCAAAGTGAGGTCTTCTCCAGCATTTCCATTGCACCAAAATGTAAATGTCATGGATATGAGTGACAGATTTATTTAAGAAAACAGCTTGTACTGTTCAATTGTGTGTTGTTGCCAAGATGGTTGACCCCTGCATTGCACTGATCTTAAATGGACTCTGGTCCAAGTTGCACAAGACAGCTCGATGGGAAGTATGTTGCTACAGCTCTGTCTGTGCGCCAGCTGCAGTGTCTTTGATCCCATGTGCTGGAGGTGTTGGCACAGGTCTCCCTGCCACCCCCTCTGCATGCCCCACACCGTTTGCGCTCTGACGCCTGCCATGGCTAATACTAAACACTCTGATTAACTGCAAGGCATCTTTCAGCTGAATTTGTTTTTGTTTGTTTTTTCCCCCTGACATGTGACATAGTTAATAGTTAATTCACAATTAGCTTTGAGTTTGTTTTCTTTATTTGGAAGAACGTGTAAGGATTACATAAACGTAAATTTCTTATGCGTTAACAAAGTTAAATGCTACAAAGGCACAGAGCGGCAAATAAAGAAAGTCTTATTAGTCTATTATGGAAGTGATTTGTATATCTGAACAACCAAAGTGATGTTTCTAAAAATGTATTTATTAGTCTTACATACCCAACAGCTTTTAAAAATAATTTGCTAGTCACAGTGAGCTTCTTAGTTTAGAAAAGCTGCAATGTTAACACCATCCTCACGCATCTTCTGCAATGTCAGTATGGTAAGAATAGAGAACTTTTATTTACAATTTATTGTCCCTTTCAAATAGTTTGTATAAACTGAAAATGATGTTTGCAGGAGCACTAACATTTTCAAGTTAAAAGCCTTATGCTCTATTGTATAAGACTGATCTTTTCTCAACAACAATATACAGTATAACTGAACTTAAGTTACACAACAGTAGTTTTGCAGTATTTTTCTTATTTGATTGGCAGTTAAAAGCAGTTTCATAAAACAACGTATACAAAAATGTTTCTGCTTAGCGACAGAAGGTGTTTATGGAGCCACAGTTACAAAGAGACGCAAGAGAGTGACACAAAAAAAACATCACTGTATGGAGACAGTTGAGGTATTGAATGGTTTTATTTTCTGTTCCAGAGGAGAGGTCTGTCAAAAGTGAACTTTTATCAAGGCAGTTTAGTATAATATGTACTCTTTGACAGACAGACATACACACACACACACACACACACACACACACACATCTGTATTTATTTAATCTAATCTCATAACAACACATCAGAATTATTACTGAGGCAATGAAAACAAATACAGTACAACCTATCATATTATCTCACTTATAGAGTGCACATGTAATAAGGCAATTTGATTTTGGCCATTTGAAAACCAAACTGGTTATCTAGATTATACAATAAGTTAAATGGACCAAAATCAGTTAAATCGTGGTGTGAAATTAACACATTAGTCATTTTTCAAGATTTCTTCAATATCACATGTTCATTTCTAGTGAGCAGGGAAATCATAATACATAAGTGTAAAATATGGATGACAATCGGTTATATCGATGTCTGTGAAGATTCTCAGTCATCCAGGTCATAGTTATCTAAAGAAGGTTAAAGTCAAGGGCAACTGGACATGGTTGAAGATTCTTTGGATAATCGGTTATATCTTTATGTGAAAAGTACAGGTAAAAAGTAAAAGGCCACTATGGTGCCAAAAGTATTTATAGAGTTTTCCTCCAAACATTTTTGGAAAAAGTAACCTTATGCTTATAGCTAAACCTTTCAAAATGTTATTGCATTCTCTCAAATATAATTTTGTAGGGAACTTTATGGCTAACATGATATGCCATATGCCAGCTCTATCTGCACATACATTGTGTGATAAATAACATCCAGGCCATCATGTCATTTAAACAGATTGAAGAACAGCACTCTCACTATGAAGAGAAAACAATGGTAACGCTAAATTATCTGGATAAATATGAAGAAAACGTATCTGTCTTGGACGATCCAAAATGTCAGTCAAAGAATAGGCTCTGTTTCATTCCAATTGACTAATGCATCTTTCCACCTGAAAAAAAAAACACAGTTTAATAAGGGGTTAAAAGCTGACCCAGGTACATAACTAAACCACCTGATCTTTTAGAACTAAAAGCATACATTTGAACACCCCTTGACTTAATAAATAGCAATAAAAGCATTTTATGGATCTGAAGACATTACTGTGCACGCCAGTCTATGTCTTTGTGTTTGAAATGCCAGAAGATCCTTACCTTGTTCGGATACAGTGCTCCAATGGGGGTATGAGATCGGTGTCAATATCTTGACAGCTCAGGGCCGATTTGCCAACAGCTAAAAATACGAATACTTAATTAACATTTTTAATTAAGGCATACTTACAATTTGCAAAAGCAAAATAACTAAACACTACTCAAGCACCAACATGATCACATTATAACCACAGAAATTTGACCCTAATGTAAAGTTCTGGTCAATACCTGAGGTGAGGGGATTATAAAGAAACAATTACAATCAAAAAAGGACATGCAAACTGAGTGATGCTACATACAGACAGTGAGGCAGATCTCCTCCTGTTGATTGGCCAGTCCGTCATAATAGTAGAGGTCAAACTCCAGACAGCTGTCCTGATTGGTCAACAGCTCCCTCTGCAGGCCAAACAGCACGCTGAAGTGGCTTTCACTACACACCACCCAGATGGGATAACGGGGAGTCTTCAAGTAAGCTCCTACCTTAGATAGAAGAAAGTAGAACACAGCAGAGCAAAGCAGTGTTTTACATAACCAGAACCTTGAAATCAAAGCAGCTAAATGGAGTTCAGACATCAATTTTGTTATCCACAATCCTGAGTTGTCACAAACTTCAGATTCCGGCTACCAGGGTGGGTGAGGAGTAAAATCAAAACTCTTGTCATGGTATTTGTTTATGCATGCTTCCTGAATACACACAGTTTTTCCAGGTTGTAGGAGTAACATGATTTTGATTGGAATAGTACACTTTGTACATGCCTTGGTATTTACTGTACATGTTAATGATGTGCAAGGTATTTGCTGAAGAGCCTTAAACCTTTTTTTCATTTCCAATTAAAAAACCTTGTTATTAATCTATGGCAAGTCATTTTAACATTTATTCCTTAAAATTTACTAGTCGCTATTTAAAAGCTAGTACTTATTCATTAGTCACTAGTCACCTTTCCATTAGTTACTAGAAACTATTCCCGTTTTAATAGTAACAATTGATTAGATTCTACTACTTAATTTGTAGTTACTAGTTAATATTCCATTAGTTACCAGTAACTACTTTTTAGTTACTAGTAACCAATGAATAGTGGCAAGTAAGTTCTGAAGGGCCAGTAGTAGTAGTAGTAAGTTTTGAGGAATAAATGTTAACAGCTTGCCATAATTAATCATTGTTTCCTGGGAGAATGAGTTTTACATCAGCTTCAACAGGCCATGTTCCTCATCAAAACATATCCACATGTCCGTGATGTGATTGACCTACTAGTTATATTTCAATTCACCTGGTCAATTTAATTTGTAACTATGCTACGGATTGAGATAACCACAGAGCCTGTTGCTTCACATTTTCTTCAGCCAGTGATGCCCCTCACCTTACAGATGTTATAATGTTCAAACAAGGACAGCAGGCCAATGTCACAGTGGCCCTTAATTCCCTTGAGAAGAGTCAGGTTGCCATTGCCTGAGTCCAACTCCATGTCATTGTCAAAGACATTAGAAACTGCTCTGCCGCAGAGCAACAGGTTGACCAGTTCCTGGTGAACACAAACACAAAGAATCAATCTTAGTAACCAGAATTTATGTTCTGTATACAGCAGTAACAGTATTATTGCTTACTATCTGTATTGTGTGTTGCACTAAGATCCCTTTATTGTACCATCAACATAATCTAATGTTCAGACTGCAGGCCAATGTGAGGCAAATCTGATTTTTGATTTTTTGTCATAACAGTTTGAACAGCCCAAGTAGCATGGAATCTGATCTTTTTCAGTTCAGATTTGCCTCTGATTGGTTAACCCTAACCCTAAACCCACCCTAACCTTAAGTAGCCCCGACCATTGGAGGCACAGCTGTCAAAACTCTTGCAGGAAAAAAAAATAATTGTGTGACATCGAATTATTCTATTGTGCAATCAAAAAAACTGGATCTTCCTTGGAACTGACCATTAAGGCCTGCAGTGTGAACATCAACAGCCTATATCACGCACAAACTTCTGTTAGTTCTTCGCAGCATAGTATTTTCATTGCTCACTGGAGATGTGCTTGTTCACTCATAAGGCTGACATGGCCTTGAGGCAGCATTTCAATGCTGCCGTAAACATTAACTATTAAGCGATAGACTTGCATGTCCCTAAACCAATGCCATCAAGCCCAATTAATTTTTTTATGTCAAACCTGAGTGCAGTAGCCATGGGCTCCGATGAGCGTGTTGGTGGGCACATCCATATCCTCCCTTACTCTAATGAAAGAATAACAAGTAAGCACAGTAAGGGTGATGTTTCTTCATTTAGCTAATAGTGATTTTTTTATACTGTACATCTTGTTCGGTCACAAAGCTGGAAAAGGCATAACGTACTTTTCAACGGATCGAGAGAGAACAGCAGATATGGTCAACAGCATGCATCCTAACTCCTCAGTCTCAAACTGTGAAAAAAGAAGACAGATTGGAGCAAAAAAGGTTGGCAATCTTATGTCCTCTTGGCAAAATATAACTGAGGAAAATGATATCTCTCACCTGCTCAATATGCTGCTCCAGAATCAACTGCAGGTCCTTGATGTTATCCACTGTAAAACATGTTATCTAAAACAAAAGGTAGTTCTATCTATCAAATCTAGACATAGTAATATTCCACAAGTTGAACCCAATAAAAATGAAAATGCTGTTGAGGAATGTTTGTCTGATGTAAAATTCTTAATATTTTTTAAATATGAAACTCCTCATCTATGTGCAGCTTCTATCTAATCTATTTAATCGACTTGAGTATAATATTACTACCGAAATTTGAGCAGATGTGTATGCAGTGGCATCCCTTTACCTTTTCAAGCACTCCTTCAGATTTGTAGTGTCCAGTTGGGGTGAAATGATTTCTCCCTGAATTTCTGTTTTAAAAAACAGAGATTAGAAAAAAGCTCATAAACTTGAACAATGGGTCTGACAGGTGCTGAGAGCAGATATTAAAAAAGTATCTGTGGTACAGTATGACCCTGACATAATGAACCACCCAGACCTTCCAACATCTAAGCCAGGTATTCACATACATTCAACCTAGCAAAACACTGGTCATGAGGTTGTGTAAAAAAAGGATTAAGTGGAGTATTAAGTGGATCTTACATTGCAACTGTGGCTTGTTTTTCCTCACCAGCCCGCCACAGGATTTCAGACGCAGCTAAAACAAGACACTTTCTTCTGGCAGTGTTGGAAGGTCTTAACCTCCTGAGAACAAAATGGCATTTGAGTGCAAAGCAGGTCGTCTGGGGTAATAATAAAGCTACTTCCAAAATGCAGGATAATTTCTTAACAGTGGTTAGAAAGCATGCCTTGATGTGAATTATTGGCTGTAAAAGGCATCCAAGAGATTACAATAGGGCACATAGAGGTTAATATTATGAGCCAAAGCTCTGAATTGAAGGATAACGCACTGAAGGCCTGTATCACTGCTTTGGATGTTTTCAAACAGAAGTTTCTTTAGAACAAAGGATTGGATGGATGCCAGAACGCCACAAGGACCACCCTAGAAAACAGAAAAATAGTATAATAACAATAATAATAATTATAGCATAATATCACAAATTAATAAATCATATAAAATCAGTTGACTGGATTACTGAATTTTAGAAAGACGGCACAGTTGAGACAACCTTTTTCTGCACAATTCCGTATCTCAGGTCATGCGTTTCTGAGAATGTGAAACTCTGATTCCTCCACTCAACACTAAAACAATTTAGGCTGGAACCAAGAAGAATCATTTTCAATTCCTGGGGAAAAAAAAACAAATGCAGAAAACAAATAGAAAAATCAAAGGCAACCGCAGAAACTACCTCCAGCATTTCTTGAGAAACACAGGCATAAATCACCAACCACAGCAGTGTGTTGGTCCATCGGGCGGCCAGCATAGCTGTGCTCTGCGATGGTTCTCTGAAAGGAAGCTTTCGAGAGTTCTCGGAAATCGTCATCATCATCAATGTCATCTAGGAATTGATTAACACACCTTGTTAATCAAGGCAGCTTTGACAAATACAAGGCAAAACATAAAAAAAAAAAAAAAAAAAAGACAATGGGTGCAGTCTCTTTTTTCTGTTTACACAGTACTTACCTAAAACCATCTCAGACACATCCAAATCACCCACATTTGACCTGGGCAAAGACTTTACTCTGAGAAACAACAGACACAATGCACATAAACCTTTGAACAAAAGGAAGATAGGAAAACCATTTCAACAGTGCAAACAGTTGCCACAGACACACTACTATTAACATCTTATAATTATTTACTTTTTAGTCTTCAGTACGTCGTGTCCCACTTTTTCAAAGGTGTTTTCCCTCTGCATTCTCTCTGGTGCACTCCGCAATGCCTGTTGCCCTCCTACGCTACACTTAGCTGAGCTGATTTCAGTTAGGCTGCTTTTTAAGCTTTTTTGATGTAAGCCAGTTACTAAAAGTCCATCCGTTAACTGTCTTTTTTCATCTTCTTTTCTGAGCAGTGGCTGAAGCGCTTCTTGCCTTCGATTGTGCCTTTTCTTGTTTGATTCCTAAAAGGAAAAACATCAGTAATGGAGCAGAGAGGGATGAATAGGAGTAGCATGATGAAAATGGGATTACTATGTTTTAAAGAGGTGTATCAGAAGTTCAGTACCTGAGGCGTACTAGCTATCGGTCCAGCCATCATGCCACGTCTAATTCGATTACTTCTGCTCCTTTGGGTGCTTTCAGTCTTTTTTTCTGGTTCTCTTCTGACGCAGCCCTCATTGTCCTGGAGAGAAGCCACGAGTGGCTGGCCTTTTTGCTCTTCTGAGTCATAAGCCCAGAAACCAGACTGATTCTGACTGGATAGTCTGTCGGTCTCAGGCAATGACGTGTGTATATGCTGAGATGGCCAGATTTCTTCTACATCAGACCTGTGAGAGAGATGAATCCCATATAGGTTTTAACCTATTTTCAAAAAGTTAAAACGGCACAAAATAATGTATCAAAATGTCACTTGTAATATAGGCTACCTTGATTTGATTTTTTTGCTACTAAGAAAAGCTGTTGCGCTATCCTCTGCCTCTGTGTCGTTCATCACTGTTGGCGGGGCTGCAGGAGAATTAACACTCGAGCCGATAGACTGCAGGGAATCACTTTCACTGCTGGTGATCTGGCCATTATCAAGGTCCTTGATGTGATGCTTTACAATAATCTCCAGTAATGTTTTCAGGGGGGAGTACTGCATCTGCAATATCAGACAAGTCAGATACAGTCCTTTTAATGGTATCCACTTGCACAGCAGCCAACCTCCAAAACGTCTGCAAGACGTACCTTATTCTTTCTATAGAGTCCCTCAATGTTGAGAATCTGCATCAAGTGTGATCTGTTGTTGATACTGGCCTCTGTGCGCGGATGCTCCTCATCCATACAGGCAATTGTCCTCTTGAGACCCTGCACAACAGTGTTTTGCACCGTAAGTTCTTATGTCACCAAAATGGTCACATTTTAGTGGCTGTTATCACGGGTGGCGATGCTAGCAGCTTTGACAATATGACCATCATCCATACTAATCACAGATGTCAGTGCAACACCTGAATAACGTTAAACTCTTTACCATTACTGGATTGCTAATGCTAGCTAGCTGGCAGCTTGCAGTTTAGCATTGAGCCCGTTGACCACCCTATGTCAACATCTCACAGCGTTAGCGTTTGCTAGCTTACCTTTCGACTCAGATATTCCCGTACAAGGGACGAAGAAACCTCTTCAACTGAAACGGCCATTGTAACGGGAACGAGTCCAGCTGTGACGACCTTCTTCCAACATAGATACCGTTAATCAACAAGTAGCTGTTCTGGCGATGGGCTTTAGCTAACCGTGTAGCGAGCCATTACAAAGCTGTGGGTTGTTCATCGCCATTTGTGCTAGAGACTTGGTGTAACTGCGCGTCTTTTACAGTTGTTGTTCGGAAGAGCGTGTTTCCATGGTGATGCCAGTTGCTCCGCCCTCAAAATGGCGGCCTATTTTTATTTTTTTTATAAATCCTTTTGTCATTTTGTTTTCTTTCATCTTCTTCAGTATACGTCTTTAATGGAAATGCTCCCCCTGCGCAACTTTATGTCGCTAGTGCTTGGTTAGTGGTTCAAAACTATGGGTCTGTACATAGTTTTAAAAAGGGGGTCACAAATAGCCTAATATCTAATATTAAGAAACACGAAATCAGGTTATTTTTTCAGAATGTGTAATAATCTTTACATTTTACTTATGAGGTATGAATTTTACCCGTACAAATTACTGTTTTTGGATCACTCTTTAATTGAACTGAACACAACTTGTATAACCTTAACGTTACATGTGCAACCGAAGAGGCAGAAGTCCGGCAATCTTTTATGGGGCCCAGATATAGAATTTGCTGTTGGGCCACTATTGATCCTCTACCCATACATGAAGGATCCATGGGCCACCCTCACTTTGAACCTTTAAGAGACATCCAAAAGCAAAGCAAGTAAAATGTGCAACAGATCAGGCTTTAGGTCTTCCCCATGCAACAATAAAAGACACCACAATATTCAGTTGTTTTTGTTTCATTTTATTAAAACATTTTCATTTATAATGTATGACAAATATTCAGGTTAGCCTATATTTATTTTTCATTATCAAACCATGAAACGGTTACCTACTGTTTAGCACAACTGTATCAAGAGTATTACATTTAACACAAAAAGAAATGTGGGGTAGGGTAGGGGGTACATGAAAAATTAGACTTATTACTGTTTTTTAGAAGTTTTAATCTGGACCTAAAGAGTTTCATTGAAAATCAGGATGTACACATGAGTTCAAATTGTTTTGTTCCTGTAATGTCAAATCATTGCCAATGGATCCTTCACTGTGGATTTCCAATTAAGTGATGACTAACATGTTACTCCTCAATATAATACCAGGAAAGTATCACAATTCCATTTACTAATATGGCAAAGAGTACAGAAGATGAAATCCTAATTAATACTGATGAAGTTGTTGAGCAGTAGTGTAACACCAAAGCAAGCATGTGGGATGTTTTACTGATATTCCCATATCTTGTTCTTCAAAATGACCACACAAGGATATCTTAGCTTTCACATTTCAATGCCTCCAGCATAATGTTTGCCATGTATGGACCATAAAGTGTGATATTTACAATACAGTGTTATGATACTTAAAAAAGGCTGGTATAAATATCTTAAGGGCCTCACAGCGAAGGTACTTTTGAAAAAGATTGAACAAGAGTGGTGTCTGTTTTTGGCACAGGTGACATCCTACTCTAACAGGGAGTGCAGCTTTACATTTGAACAATACGTAAACAACATCTTGCTTTTTTGTGTGTGTGTGTGTGTGTGTGTGTGTGTGTGTGTGTGTGTGTGTGTGTGTGTGTGTGTGTGTGTGTGTGTGTGTATGTTGTGTATCCCTCCCTTAGGAATGCCAAGCATACTGCTATTTTCTTCCCTCTGTTGTTTGACCATACCATGAGGGACGAAGTTTTACAAAAGGAGTGAGAGACAACAGGGAAAGTTTCTTGAACATGGAAGGGTATCAGTAGTCATAAGCTGCAAGAAAGAAACAGAAGAGCAGTTATCCACATCTGCCACACAGCTTGAGTTCACGAGGAATTGGAGCATGCGATCCACTTCATAGGCATGCAATCACACCAAGGTGGCCTTACTTTCTATTGTGAGGATGCAGGTACTTGCTGCAGTGCCTCTGCTGTTCACAGCCTTGCACATGTACTCTCCCTCGTCCTCTGGGAAGGTCTCTGGCAGGTAGAGGCAGTACGTCTCTCCTCTCTCTATATACTGATAGTCTTCACAGTCCTGGAGCATCTCTCCTTCAAACCACCACGTCACCTCCGGCTTGGGCTCCCCGGTGATCTTAACGGTGAACCGAACTGGCTCAGAGTCCACCACTGATTGATTTTTAAGGGGCTTTTTAAACCACGGGGCGCCTGACCTGGCATGCTCTTCCTCATCTTCATAAGCTGCAGAGCCATTGATGATGCTACCCTCGTCCTCCACATCATCCTCCTTCTTCTGCAAACAGATGACAAATAAAAATGTCTGAGGGTCAAAGCAACCCTTATCCAAACTCTTGCTGTGTTCTCATGCATATATTTTCATGAACGTGGGAGATTTACTTTTTGGAGGGCAGCATCAATCTCTTGCTGCTCAAACTGCATTCTCTGCAGCTTCTGCTCCTCTATTCTCCTCCTCTCCTCCTCCTCTCTGGCTTTGGCCATTTGTTGAAATCTGGCTCGCATGTCCACCTTCTGTTTGAAAGGTGACTCCTCTGGCCTCACTGGAGTCGTTTCTCTTTCATCATCCTCCTGAAAAACACAGCAATTATATCTTGATTTATTGATGGCTTGTTGGAAAATTCACATCCCTGTATACCATGTGTATACTCTTACCTCCTGGAACCGCTCAGCTTCTCTCTCTTTAATTTCATCATCAATGGCCTTCCTCCTTGCTCTCTCCATCTCAATCTTTTTCTGAATTTCATCTTCAGTCAGCTGCTTGATCTTCTCAAATTTGGACTTGAGGTCTTTGGCCTGGATGGAGCCAGTCCTCTTGAGCTTGGTCAGTTCTTCATACTCATTGCTCACAACATCTGAGCTTTCGTTCACTTCATCCTGTGGGATCAGTTGTGGGAAGTCCGTAAACGATGGAAAAAGTAACAACAATGTGGAATGAAGGTTACATTTATCATTGCAATAAGATATGTAATTTATGAGAACTCAAAAGGTGTATTTGGAAAGATGGGCTACATAAATTTCCACCTGTTCCAGACTGACCTCGCCCATCTCTTGTCTGAGTTGCTCAAATTCCTGCTTCTCCTGTTCCATTTTCTTTTTGCGTTCCTCTGCCTTGCGTCTCCTCTCAGCCTGCTCCTTCTCTTTCAGTAGCTCTTCAAAGTTGATCTCCAGTTTTCTAGGGTGCAGTGCTTCTTGAGATTCACTCTTCACCATCCCTTCTTCCTCATCTAGTGCCTGTACTCACATAGGCAGAGAGCTTGGTTTGGGAGTGAACTAACTGACTGTATCAAGTGTTATGTCCATGTTGGTCAGTGGTGGCTTCAGTTTATAACAGAGCACCTTGTCCAACAAGTCCAACTACTTACCCAACATCAAAAATGTCATAAAACCAGCAAACAGTAAGCAGCAGCCATTCTTGTTGTTGCACATTTAAAGACAACATGCATTAAAAAAAACACAAAATCTGTAAACCTTTGTGCATTTGTACAAACGGGGAATACATTCATAATAGCTTACTCTATGACCAACTGTTTCCGTGTACTTTCATGTAAAATATATACGTTTGAAATTAAAAATATCTTACTGTTTCATCTCCATATGCAGACCTTTCCTGATCCAGGCCAGGGCTCTTAAAGAAATAATTTGGACAGGGGAACAGCAATGCAGGTGTACCATTTGAGCCCATCACAAAGATATACAATATGTGAAAAAAAAAAAAAAAAGATGCATCCTCATCCAGAGTCAGAATTCTCAAAAAAAAAAAAATAAAAAAAAAAAAAAAAAATAAAGAGTTAAAACAGGTGTTACTTTGATGTACAATTGCTTTGGCCATAACTTTTTTTTTTTTTAACTAATGCTGTTGAAACTACACGTAGACATAATGATAAAATATGAATAAGTTTGTATGTGTGTTTGGGCAGTTTAAAATTTTGTTATAACGTAGGTTTGCCTATTCTTTAAAAAGGGAAGACTCAGCAGCTCAGCAGCAGCAAATTAATTGAAAGCCTACGCACCAGAACCTACTGACATGTAAATGATCAGCAAAATACATGCAGAGTATAATTTTTGGTCACTGAGCCATGTAGACTTACCATGTTCTTGCGGGCCTCAACAAAGAGCCTCTTTTCCTCTTCCAGTCTCTTCTTGGCCTCTTCCTCTGCCTTCTTCTGCTCTTCCTCTCTTCTCTGCCGTTCCAACTCCTCAAAACTGGCGCATATCTTCCCGGGCTTACTGCCCTCCAGGTTCAATAAGGCCATTAGCACCTCATCGTCCTCATCTACAAGCTGAGTAAGAACACAACAACAAGGTAAGCATCATATTTTGCCAATTTCATGTAACTTTTCAAAATGAGGTTGCTCTTATTTGTGGGACGTTTGCACAAAGGACCGCTAGCTCAAGTGAAAACTACCTTAAATGAATAGTCAGACATTTCACGAAATTGGCTTATTCGCTTTCTGAAAGAGACTTAAATGAGAAGATTGATTCAACTCTCATATGTGTCCAATAAAGCTTCAGCTAGCACAAAATCTACTTACCAGCACCTCTACATTCCACTAATTAAAACGATATGTCCTGTTTGTGTAAACTGTAAATTTCAAAAACAACCTGTTGTTTTACAAGGGGTTATGAGCCAGACTATTACTTTGTCTGGCTCAGAGCACCCACGCAGATTCCAGGAAGTTACTGCTTCTAGCCACGAAATAGTCCAGCACATAGTGTAGCCCCCTATAAAACGGTGAATTGTTGTTTTTAAAACTTTTTGTACAGTTTTAAAAAAACGAGATATAACTTTTCAATTAGTGAGGTTTAAGATGTGCTGGTAGGTGGATTTTGATACTTTTCAACAGAGCCAAGTTAGCTAGCAATTTCCCCCTGCTTTGTTTCTGCTAAGCTAAGCCAAGTGGCAGCTGGCTGTAACCTTATACTTAGCATAAGGCTCATAAAGATATTAGTGTTGTCAATCCTCTTATCTAACACTCCACCAGAAAGCAAATAAGCGTACTTCCCTAATTAAGGACATATGTGATCTAAGATATTTCAATTATAATGATCTTGCCACCAGACATGTTTACAAACTGAGATGTTTAGAATTTTCATAATCTAATAATCAAATTTTTTGTATTGAATTTTGTATTTGTTTATGGGTAGCGTATTGACCATGCTCTTCCTGGCTTCAGCAAAAGCTCTTCTCTCCTCCACCATTCGTTTCTTGGCCTCCTCTTCTGCTTTCTTGCGCTCTTCTTCCACCCTTTGCCTTTCCACCTCTTCAAAGCTCAACCGCAGTTTTCCAGGTCGATACTCCTCCTTGTCTTCCTGAGCTGCCTGAGTATCCTCCTTGTCTTCTCCCTGATAACACGTATTATAAGCACTAATTAAGCCAGCTCAACAACAGTTCAAACATAAAAATTCACTATACAACAAATGCATATATATCAATTATGAAGTGTAAAAAGGAATCCGAAGACAATAATCAATATCGCTGCTTGTTAGTATCAGGATACAAAGAAAAAAGGGGAAAGTAAAATATTTTACATGTATTATTATTTCTAAAATGTAGTGTATTGCAAAACTAAAGTGATTTACAAAAGTTGCAACTTTGCATTTAAATGTAAAAGTAACAGTTTGTTTACCATTCCCAGCCTGGCCTCCTCAAAAGCTTTCTTCTCCTCTATCAGGCGGCGTTTGGCTTCCTCTTCAGCCTGCTTCTTTCTCTGCTCCTGTCTTTCTTTCTCCAGCTCCTCAAATGTCAGCTTCAGCTTTCCAGGTGTCACTAGAGCCTTCTCCGAAGGCTTCTCTTCTTCATCCTAAATCCACATGAGTGTGAGAATGCAGTAGACTTTGTTCAACTGTCGTCTACAATTGTTGAGGTGGTTGCAAACAGCCCGACACGAGATCTAATTGAAGCAGAAATGTTTGTTTCTTCATATTCCTACCTGTTGAACAACTGAGAGCCGCTTAGCATCCCTGAAGGAGCGTTTGTTTTCATCATAGCGTCTCATCTTCTCTTCCTCTGCCTTCTTCTGTAGTTCCTCCTCTCGATTCTTTTCCATGTCTTCAAAGTTCACCTTGATCCTGCCCGGAGGTCGTGATGACTTTGCTGGAACGACCCGCACCAGGATTGTGTCATCTCCTTCCTAAAAGATGTTTGATGATGAAAGATTATCCAAGGTTATTACAAAGGCAAATAGTAAGGAATTCATTCAATTAAATGAAAGATGAAAAATAGACCATATTGGCAAGTTATGTGCAAGAGTTTGACAGCAGTGGAAAGTAATTATTGTCTGTATTGAGTATGTCCATTTTACTGCAACTTCTCCACTTAATTTCGGAGGAAAATATTAAACTTTTTACTCCACTTATCTGACAGATAAAGTTAATAATAACAGTTGCTTCACAAGTTTGACATAATTAACACGATAAGCGTATAAAATACAAAGCATTGTTAAATATTAAACCAGTGGTTCCCAGTGTTTTAGGCTAGTGACACTGAAAAATTGTCTGACTAGGCTGCCCTTGTCACATAGCAGTTTCACCAAAGAAATATCTCCCCTCAGTTGGTTTCATTTAGTTTCATTCACAGTAAAAATATCCAAAGATTTCACAAAAAAATCAAAGATTAGAGGATGGTCAGGGAAATTATTCTGCATAATGAGTACTTTTAAATCTCTATTCTCCTAATATCACCATTTGCAGTAGGTCAGAGTATGGGTGTCAGTCTAAGATAGCCGAGTCTAATTCAGTCACAGCAAGGAGGTCTGGAGCTAATTTGGTCACTGGAAGGTGTGTGAAACACTTGCCAGTCATATGCTTTCTATGCCTGGTAGCACTGTCGGTGTGCTGTTCCAGTTGTTTCTAGATCATCAGATAAGTGCTTCCTTACATTTAAACAGGATCATTTTAACCTGAGACAGTACTTCATTGCTAATAAAAGATCTCAAGCATAATTTAGTTTTTTCATATATGGGCAATAAAGAAATAAGTAATAGGGCAAGATGGCAAATGGGGGTGTGACCCACTGCACCTAACAGGCAAAAAGTAAATACACATGAAAGTACTTTAGTTAATGTAGTTGTAGACTTTTTCACATTAATGGGTAACCCTTTAGAAGAAACTATGTTTGTGGGGAATGGTGTTGCTGACAGTGTCCATTTATGTCAGTGTCCACCAGAATTTTACATACCACCACAGCCCCCAAAACAGAGGTCTCCATTTGTTGTGTCAATGGAACTATTTTCAAAGTTAGCTGATCTGAAAATCAACAATTTATTCTCATTTCAAAAGAACCAGCTAAACTAAATAACTGTTTCAAACCTTTGTGTTTATTTTCCATATAATCATTATATAGGTCTTTACAGGAAACATGCAAGGAAATTATAAGATAATGTGTAACCGTTTTATTTCTCAACATGAAGGTTTTTAATTACTGCACTGGGTTTAAAACCTAAATAATGTTTATGTTAATAATGTTTTAATTGTAGAATATAAAAACCCTGAAATCCACCCCTCCGTTAAATACAAAGGACATGACCTCGGTCTCTTCGGTGGTGTCACTGATGATGATAAAGGCAGGTTGTAAAGACATATTCAAAATAAAAAGCTGAATAAAATCACTACCATTACAACAGTGTATTGTTCAAGATTTTTGTACAGCATTGCTAACGTCATTACAAGTTTGACTGTTCTCATTGTACCAGAGCAGAATTAGAGCAAAGAAGTAGCAGGTAATTGCTTGTAATTGCCTATCTGGCACAAGAATACTTACGTAACCATTCCCAAGAAATACACCTGAAGATGTAATAAGCCTCAAAACTCCTTTCAACTCATTCTATCTGTGCTGTACTGATTGGAAATATTCATTTGATTTACATGACATAATTTTCCAAACTCCATTACATTACATTCTCATTAGAAAGGCAGAACGCTGTCCATGCTTTCCCACTTCCCAGTCTTACTGGGAAGTGGGAAAGCATGTACAAGGAATTCACCCCAGGTTTACTAACCTCAGCTGCTTTCTTGGCCAGTTCCTTCTTTATTTTGGCCTTTTCCATGTTGTCCTGAGCTTCCCTCCTCTTCCTCTCTGCTTCCATCCTCTTCCTTTCTTCCTCTTGTCTTTGTTTTTCCATTTCTGCAAACTTCCCCTTAACGCTACCTGAAGATTTCACAGAGCAGAACACAAGCCATCAGCCTCCTCTTTCTCCCAGATCCCTCCCTGAATATCCATCAGTCCTACCCTTTGCATGACTTTGTGTGCCTTACCTGTAATTTTGGGGACGTAGGATTTTTCTACCTTTGCTGGCTTCAGCTCTTCTTCCTCATCACTGGAAGCGAGTAGTTCTTTTATCTGTGGCGGATCAGAAGGAGAGCGGTGGTGAGGTTACGGTTTAGCTGGGATCATCTCCTTTGCCACTCAGGAGCCATGCTGGTCCCAGCAAGAACATGGGCCTAATCCCTGTTAATAGCCTGGTCATGTGACCTGCAGGTGGACCTCTGATTGGACCATGATGTTGGTGCACAGAAAGGAGATGAGCGTAGGTGTCCGAGCCTGGCCAGCTATGGCACGGCAGTGCACAGGGAGGTTGTTCTGTCTTACAGAGTGTCACTGATAATCCACTCACATAACACCATATCACTGCATTTGTTTCACCACAGTCGGTCTCAAAGAAAAGCTGTCTTAACCTTGAATTCTTGATCTCTGTCCATCCCCTTTAAAGTTTGCTGCTACTCAGTCACTTAAATATTTGTCATTATCACATATGTTCATATTAGTTTCTTCTGATAAAATGAAAAAATTTTTAATTTATTTTATTTATTTATCATTTTATATAAGAGCTGTAACTAAAGCTTATTTTCATTATTGATTAATTGTCTATTGATTCACGATGTGTTGATAAATCAACAGTCCAGTGCGGTGTGTTCAAATTACTTGTATTGTCTGATCAACAGTCCAAAATGCCATGGTATTCAGTTTACAGTGAAATCATCACATTTGATTTGGAGCCAGATAACTTTTGGTGTTTTTTTTTACTCCACTGGCAAATCGTTGACAAGTAAAAGAGTACTCCACTGATTTAGCATTTTACTCCTATAAAATTGTAAGACACACAATGGACCGTTTAAAAAGAAAAGGATCAAAATTGATGCAGCAGAACCAAAAAATAATGTCTTGTATTGTTTTTTTCAACACGTTCTAAATTGTCAAAACCTGCTGCCTATATTACCCACAATGCAACTCAACAGTCGACAGGAGCCTGAGCTCCTAGCCACAACAAGAGATGAGGAGTGGGCTACAGAGATGTGTTGATAAAGGATAATAATGAAATGTATGGGGTTGATTGTTCTTATGTTGTATGTATGATGCTTTGGCAATGTTGTTGTTACACATTCATGCCAATAAAGCTAATTTGAATTGAATTGAATTGTGGTAACCTCACTTCTCTCTAGCTCCACACACCCCCGAGATTACCTTCATTTTTAAAACTTCTGCACCAACCGCAATTTATCAGATTTCATGCAGCTCCCTCTGGAGCCACAGAAGGCTCTATACAAGTTTTTGTGCCAGTACTAATTTACATATATTTTCCTTTAATTCCACCTAGTATATTTGGTATGCAGCTTACATTTTTAAAAAAAGTTAAATGAGTTGAACAATGCTTGGCGACACAACATGCGTTTAGAATTATGGAGGATCCAGTGGCGTCCAGTCCTGTTCCTTGTGCACATTAATAGGGTTAAAACTGCAATTTTATTTTATTTTTTAATAATAATCTTATGAAGTCAAGCACAAACCAACGTTGAATTTTGCATGAAATGATCATTACTGATTACTAAATTTTTTTTAAAAGACAGTGAATTCTCACTCAAACTGGTGGCCTTGTCACCTTGTCATGCGTCATCATGCCATGCAGGTCACGGTCGGAGGTTAGTGTGGTTTTGTGTCTTTGACCTGCTGCTTCCTGCGACTCCACTCTCTCTCCTTGATATATTGTTGCTTTCTCTTCTGCTGCTCCTCGTTGTGCCTCTGCCTGCTGCGCTCCTCCCTGGCCTTCTGCATGGCCTCAAACTTGCCTGACACATCCCCCTTGTCTTTGTTCAGCTTTGGCACGTAGCTTCTGGTCACTGGCTTTCTGGATCGGAGGAGTTTCTGTGGTTAAACAGTGAGAGGGATGATAAGATTAAATTATTTGCGGCAGCAGGGGCACACGGTTTCTGTGAAGGGCAATATTCATATGGATGAGAATCACAAAAATCTACAAAAACGTATTTATTCACTTAAATTGCTCACTCACCTCTTTCTTAAGTGTCACATCAGAAATATTCTGATCTTCATTTGTGCCAGGTTGCTCATCCTCCTGTTTCTCTGTGTCCTGTGCTACACCGTTAACTTCTTCTTTGTGTTTCACTCCGTTCATGTGCGTCTTGTCAGTCTCACTACTCGCTTTGTCATCCACGTGTGACGTCTTCTCGCTTTCATCTTCACTAACTGCCACATCATCTTCTTTGGTTTCTGCATCGCTCATGTTGTGTTCGTCTTCATTTGTGACATCATCCATATCGCGTGCAACTACAGCCGCAGCCTGCGCCACCTCAGTCATGCTTGCACCACAATGACAAGTTGTCAAACAGGCTCTGTTAAAATGTTACCTGCAAAGCAAAGGAGGAATGGTTCAAGTGTTCACTTTCTTGCTGCATCATGCACAAGTGATTGATTGTCAATCTGCTTTACACATCACAAAAGTTTAGCGTGCAACATAAATTTGGCCATATGACATCAACAATCACATTTTCATTGAGTGATCAGATGAATTTCTTTTTTAAATGCAGGATGTATGCCCCTTGAAAAATGTTATTAAGCTTCTCATTGATTGGCAATGAAAAAAAATGAAAAGGTTAAGACTTCAAATGAATGCATTTTTAAAATAGGCTGATGTATTTATTGTTTCACTGCGGGATATAAGAAGCATTCGTTGGCTGTCACCAGAACTTGTTAGTGGCCAGTGCCTGCATTTGTGCACCCTTTAAATAGTCACGATGCCAGACAAGATTCACGTTTCTTAGCAAACGTGGCCATTTTGAAAGTCTTTCATGTTTTTTGTGTTCAGTTAATTTGTATAATTATATTTGTTCTGTAATTTTTTTTATGTTTTATGTATCCATTTAAACGGTTGATTATCAAGCAACCAATTTACAGCCATTTGAAGATAGATCCTCTACCTTGCCATTTATATGCGTGACAAGCACTTCTTAACTACAAAGCTAGGGGCAAAGAAAGCTGCCCCACTTCCCAGTGTGTTGAGAAAGAGCGCAGTGGAAGCTTGCATGCTGACCTCTATTTATAGCCCACTTGTGGGTCCAGGACATGTGATCATGGCTATTTCTGATTAGTGATAGGCAGTTGGAAAGAGCTCAAGTTGGCACCTACATGTCGCCCCACAGACCCTTGACAAAATGGCCAGACTAAGAGCTAGACAACTGGATGAATGAGAGCTGTTTGGACTGTTAGTCATCCCACACTAAAACTGTTGCTGTTTATCAGTGTCCTCAAATACCGTTTTATATTCAGGTGTGAAGATCAGAGTGTGATCGTGGGGCTGCTCATCAGGAGCTTGACCATTTAAGTGTTGAATGGAATACAAGTATAAATGCATGGTGTGCCACAGTGTAGCTTATAAATTCCTACAGTACTGGAGAGATTTTAAAATTTCTAATCAGTCAACAATTAGTCCACCTTGTGTGACCACTATAGGCTTCACTGGCGTGGTCAGCTTAAAATGCCCATCCCATTGAAACCAGCTTTACAACACAATCTAGAACAAAAATTACATTTCACTTTAAATTAATCAACCGTGTTTTCTGATAAATCACATGTGTATTACTAAATGTCTTGAGCTTTTGTCGCTGACTGAGTTTTTGGAGGCAGAATAACAATAAAATTCCAGAAAAACATTTGATTTCATATTGTTTGTTTTATTGCTAAATATTCCTTATGAAAGGTTGCTTATTGACTTTGTTCATTTTGAATCCCCTCACCCCCAACCTCGAGCCTAGTAACAAGGAGGTGAATGTCAGGAGGTTGACAGAGCAAACTGACAACTGTTTAAGATCACCTGCCATTTTCCTAGTGCAGCCTGCGAAAGTGTTTCTTCTATTGTGCAGTGATACACAATGTTCTGACTCAGAAGATAAGAACGTCTTTGTGACTGGAAGGGTATTAACTTTCTATTCGGACAGACAGTGAAAATGTTAGGTTATTAAAAAAAATCTTTCATAAATCTTCTAAATCTAAAATTTGACTGAATAAGGTCAAGGTCTTTATGACAATGTCATGTCTGGAATATCGAGTTACAAGAGTAATGTTGGGTTTTTTGTGGTGATGTTTGGTTTGGAGTATTTCTGTACTTAGCTGGCACAAGGTTGCCTATCATGACAGTGTGTCAGAAACGTTTGACATATACACAGAGATTAACGTGTTAATTTATCATTCTAACTCCTATGGCCTATCAGAATGATTGAGTTTATCCTACTTGTAACTAGCTACTAACTTCAGCCTGCCTGTAAGTAACTAACCACCATTTCAAAAGAAAATCTTGATTAACACTTCAGGATGCCTGATGGACCTGATGTCAGCCTAAATTACGATGTATGAACTGAACTTTTGATTAAACCCATGTCGCTTTGTCCTTGCTACATAATGCTGAACAGACTGTTTATGGTTGTACCATAACTTACTTACTTTTCCTACATACCTTTTTAGCGTGCAGTCGTCCTCCTGGTTTGGATTTAGGCCTATTATTTTTTTAATCCTTTGGGTAGATATAAACCAGAACAAGTGACACGCAGGACAATCCGTGATACGACCACTCGGTGAACCAACTCGACTGGCTGCTGGTTGCAGTTTCCATAAAAGTACCATTACTTTCTACCGGATACTGCATTCCGCACGCGCCTGCCGCAGGTTCAGCTGTTGCCTCGTGCACGCGCGCGCGCGCGCGCACACACACACACACACACACACACACACGCACCCACACAGTCTCTTCCATTTGCAGTCGCAGCTGCATAAATACTGTTTATAATTGTCTTTAACCATTTTGTACGGACTGATAGGGCCTATTATTGTGAACGGTTAATTTGTAGTGATTCTTTGAACTGATTTACTGTATTCATTCAGGTTACTGGCCTATGAGGTTACAAAGACCTGAGTGATATTTTTAAATTACATCACTTTAAAACCTCCACAATAGCCCCAATGTGTATTTGCAATTATTACGTTTTTACTTTATGATCAATAGTCAGTGACCAGAATTCTTCCTACAGTAGGCTTATCAATGTGAAAGGCCAGTAGTTTTTGTGCAGTTCAGCGAGTGTCATTAAAGTAGGCCTAAACCTACTGCATGTTTATTAAACCCTCACCTACCTGCCATGCTTTCATTATGCATTTGCAATTCCCTGTTTTTACCAGGAATGGAATAGCCAGATAAGCATAGCCAGATTGTCTGGTAGTACAAAAGAAACTGGATACTGTTCTGGTCTAACTAAATGCAGACAGACATTATCATTATCTGCTTGTTGGCCTGTTCCAGCCAAGATTCCCAACTTATCAGTTAAGAGGGACACCAGCTTGCCCTTTGTTTTTTTCCACCTAACCTAGATGTTGCTGCCGTTCTGCTATGCAGTGACGGTTAGAACTCATACCATCACAGCAGGAGCGTTTTTCAATATGGTCACATCTAACCACATTTTAGGAAATATCCATTTTACAGTCTAAACTGCCAAGTTCCGATGCATTACATTCCTTTTTAACTAAGATGAGAAAGTGGTTCTCTCATTGTGGTCGGATGTAAATAGAAATCCTACGGCAGACACATTTGTCTGCCCTAATGGCTCCAAGCGCAGCTGCTGACTCACTGACCAAACAGGCCTCAGGCAGAATACCCACCAAGTAAAGTTCCCACTCAAGTATTCTAGGAATGTTATAGAGATTTTTGAGAGGTGGCATGCTAAAGCCTTGATTGATCTTGCTGTCAGATATTTTTCTGCGCTGCCTAAATAATCATACCGTTCGACATATACTGAAAACCTTGTTTGGCCTACTGTATAACAAGATTCACTTGAAAGCTCTACTTTACAGGTTAATGGTAAATGTCAGGATAACCAGCAAATGTTACCTAATTGCAGTGTCCAGTTAGAGGTGTTGAGGCTTTGGGAAAGCCCCCAACAAGAGGGCCAAACCTAAGGCTAATACTGTACATGGAAGTGAAATCTGAGAGGAAGAAAATCTTTGGAAGAGAAAGAAATGAAAACAATGTGTGATTCGTTGAATGAAAGAACATACAGACTACTGGAAGGACATTGCTTAGAACAACCTACTGGTGCGTATAATTCCACTAACGTGTACAAAATAAAAATGAGAATAGTTGTAATATAATACACAAACTGCCAGCCAATTTACTTCAAGCTTAGTGCTAGCATGTAGCTTCCACTTTACGTTTTCCTTCCTTACCATACACACATTTCATTGTTTTGGAGAGGCTCTTTTCATCACGTCATTTATTCACTTCCTGCTCAGTTTGAGGTGTAAGTTGGGTGGGGGTCTGTTCTATGAACTCTCAGGGCAAAGGGGCTCCTGCCTCCTCTGTTATAAGTCCTGCAGGGCATCGGGGACAACAACGAGACTGCTTTAAATAGCACCACAGTTGTGGCAACTCATCAACACTGTAAGGACAGCTAACCTGAGTCAGACTAGGCCTTCGCTTCAGCTGCTGCAGCTCAGCCCTGACACCCCTGTGAATAGTTTTGTGGTGGTACAACCCACACCCCACACCCCTGCTGAAGCCCCAGTAGACTGGCTCAGCAGGTCAAAACTGTATCATGTGGTGGTAGATGGACACACCAATGCCAGCTGTCCACACCCCTACTGACACAGTTCATAATAAATATCAGACCACCACCTGCTTATTCTGTGAACTGTGACTGTCCTTCCACTTTAATACACACACTGCGCAAAATATCAGGGGAAATCATCTTTGACTCCTCTCAGTCTGCTCACTACCAAAACATCCTAATGCCACTACGAGAAAAACTCTTTCTCATTAATGACATTAACATACAGTATATTCTTTAGGCACTCATATAAATCACGACTTTACGTAGTCTGCTTATTTTGAGTCGGACTAAGAAACATGATCACATCACAATCCTGGCTTACTTACCTGTTGCTTTCACAATTATTTTCAAGATACTGATTACTTCCAAAGCCTTGAGAGGCCCAGCCCCAAGTCATTTGGCAGATCCTTTAGTGCCCTATGGCCCTTCCCACCCCCTGGAGATCCTCAGATGCGTCATTCCTGGTTGTTCCTATAGGTGCAGATTTATACTCACAGGTGATAGAGCCTTTGCAATTTGGGCTCCGAGACTGTGGAATAACCTGCTGAGGAGATCAGGTCTGTAAACTCTTGTTTTCAAATCACTTTTAACAACACACTTTTTAAAAATTACTTTTCATTGATTTTACATAATGTTTTCTAACATTTTAAATTGTTTTACACTTTATGTGTTTTATAATGTGTTTAGTTTTTTTCTCTTAATGTATTGGAATATTAAGCTTATTTTCATCATTATTGTTAGATTTGTTGTGTCATGACTTGTTGTGTCTGACTGTCTGTGTGCACATGGTGATACTGGTGTTGTTGATTTGAGCTTACAACAAAGGCATAATGTCTGCATTGATAGAGAAAAATGCCACTGAGTCTGCTATTCCTGGACAACAGTCTATTTACCTGACTCTCTGTTGTGTTTTTGCTGAGGGCTAACTCAGCTAGACGGTGACCAGACCACATAGGTGATGAACTCTAACACCCTATGATGCCCCTTTCTTTTGCCCAGAAGGTTAACTGAGGTTAAAATAGTGTTGCTGAAATGACTGGTCAAGCTAAAAAACAGACATTTTGTAATGTTATTCTCTTGAATACTCCGAGGACAAGCAAACAGCAGTATGTAACATTGATGTTTCACCTTAAGATTTCTATGTATTGTTCCTTTTGAACAGGTTAATGTTGAGATACTGAATTATTTATTTAGTGAGCTTTTAGCTTTTTAACAGTTTATCTTTTCAACTACATAGGTATAGAATACAGGGATATATGTCACAATTTCCCAGCTGTTATTAAGAGAAAAAGCAACTCCACCACAGAACATGTGTCCCTGTAGACGGAGCAGGACACACTCTTACCAAGCTGCTTTAAAGGCACATTGTGAGCCTTTGTATGTGAGAAAAAAATACCCTTTTTTTTCAAAATGACATTTTGCAGAGGACAATTAAAGCAATTTAATTCGATATTATATGGAAATTTACAAAAATGGATCCATATGATTTAAACATTTGGCCACACTATAAGATTGTAACTGAAAATAATACATTGGTCGATGGGTAAGATGGGGTCTGAAATGGTCCAAACTTAAAGTGCCCTGTCTGCAGTATTCGAAAACCTAATGTCAGCCCTATCAGCTAACAGGCATTAGCATAAGTGAAACATAACTCTGCATTACTGGAGGCTTGTTGACACCCCTACCACGGAGAGACTGTTGAACAGTGGTGCTATCCACAACTGACCACAATCCCGTAACAACGCCAACTGCTACATTATCAAAGATTCTCCATAATTATGAACCAGTTGGTCACATGCTCTGGCCTCACATTCATTCCTTACTTTCATTTCATTGTTTTTGCCTTAATCTGCAGAAATTATAAGGGAGGATGCGCTGGACTGGCAACCTGTCCAGGGTGTACCCCGCCTTTTGCCCGATGTAAGCTGGATGGATGGATAAAGTGACCCCAAAGTCCCTTCCTGCAATTGTCACTGAAGTGTGCTTGCGCAGAATTCATGGAACTTTCACTGCCCCCTGGTGAAAACTTTGACACAAATCCTGACTTTGGTGTTAAGAGTTACAAAATATTTAATTAGATGTCCTATTGATCCCTATGCTACCAACTAAAATCTGTAAATTTCCCATCGACATACTTTCAATATTTTAAATTCAACTTCTGTTTTGTTTAAATTCAAACGTTGTTTGTAGGTAGACTAAACAGCTACTACATTTTTAATAGGCTACATGTTTACATTATGATTGTCAGTTCATGTCAGCATGCCAGAAGCAATTATGAAGTCATGCAAAATGAATGTAGGTCAAATGACTGATTTCTTCTGTTGCTTATACAGGCTGTAGACTCACACAAGCATGTGAAATATATGACATATGATGTTGTTGGAGAAACAGAAACACACAGCGAGAGGTAGATGGGCCTTTCTTTAGGATTAGAAAACTGAAAGCTCATCCTCCTCCATACATTTGGCACACTTAACACTTTGGCTCAGAATCAGAGTATGTATGTTTGAGTGAACAATGTCCTAAATTGCAAGAATTATTTATAGGGAATTGGCACAGGCTGAATAGACACAAGAGCTCCAGTTTGTATATACTTTTTATAAGCATTTTTTTTTAGAACTTTTTGGCAATTAAGAAATTAGTAGAAATTAATGGAGTTCTGTCACATGATTATAGTGGGGTAATAAACATACAACATTCCAGTTACACTCAAAGAATTTGCAGTAGTATTTGACACCATCAGGGACAATAATGCTTTTTAGAAATACAAACAGAGCTCCACCTATTTCGTCTCCCTCCCCAGTGTGGCTGAATGTGAAAAATTTGTTTCTCTCAACATCCTCGAAATAATAAGAACATTCGTGCCATGTTTCAGAATTTGCTTTTATCTATTCCACATGTTATATCATATTGGAACCTATTTGTAAATTACATTGATTGGAAAAACGTTTGGATGATTCATCACAAATACCTGAAACAAGATGAAGGACATGTCATGTTGTGTCATTTAGAATGATTCACAGATTACCCTGTTCATCACTGGTTAAATTTAAAAGATATCAATACAAACTCTTCTTTCTGTGAAGACCACCCAGAAACTGTTTTGCACCTCTGTCTGCTGAAGTTTTGCCAAAATGCTCTTGGCAAAACTTCAGCAGATTCATCATTGACCATATTTGTAGATATTTTGCAATACGGTGGGATGTGGTATTTTGGTTCTTTATAATAAATTTATAACTTCTAATAGCAAAATTCCACATTCATACATGTGAATTCAGAAGTAAAAAAAAACAAACTTTGCATTTCATGAGGTTATGTCAATTTAATTTCTAAATCCAACAACTAAATCCAACAACAAAAAGGCTGTGAAAATTGTCAGCATGGGTAATATAGGCTACCCCTGGCAAAGTTTTAATTATTTCTGTCTTATATATTTTATACTGTTAGGTGTTCCTCTGTGTGCAATAAAGATTTGAAAAGGAAAAAAGATCGTCGGAGGGGCACGGCAGACAGGCATGCGCACTAATGTCAGCTTTTTAGGCGAAACAGTCCCCTTTACAAACGGGTTGAAGGGATCTGAACCAACCCAACCAACGGAGACACTAGCCAATCAGAGGAAGAACTGTCGGAAAGCTGATGGGGGGAAAAAATAAATAACGCGTCCAGCCGATTTGAACGACTTCCTGGTCCGGCAAAATCTTACATTATCGCGATATACAGCCTGTTGCGATTCAGTGGCTGGGGCCTGACGCTGGAATGCGAAACTACAAGTTATTTAGCCGAAACAATCAATTGACAGATCTCGGCGTACCACTTCAGAAATATCACAGCTCTCGTCGGGACTCAGCTATGGTCCGGGACATGAGGGACAGTCACAACATATGGTAAGTTTTATAAAGCCGTCGCTAACGCTCGCTTTAGCATCGTTAGCTAGCTAAATCCATCAGCACCCAGGTTTGTGACAGCTGACCAGCCAAGAGGACCAAGCTAAGGTTAGCATTAGCAAAGTTAGCTGGCAGGCAGTTGACGAATTGAGTTAATCTTATTTGAACATACGACTTGTTTAGGAGATTGTGTTGCAGAGTAATTTACGGGCATACTTCGGACTGTCACATAGGAATGTTAATTTTGTTTCCTGTCGTAGCCACACAGCACACCGGTGTGGTGGTTTGTTTGAGTGATACGTGCACTAAAGGCTAACTGATACTGAAAACTAGCCTGCTAGCTAGCGATGGTATGTCGTTGTTGCTTGGTGCAAAAGTGGCTACAACAAACAACAACAGACTGACAGGCACCCTGCTAGCACTCGTGTGCTAATGTGAATGAGTACTGGTAACGTAGGCGTGATTTCTTTGTGTTCGTGTTATATTCCGGATGTTTCCCTTGTTTTGATTGATAAATTAAGCTGTTTTGAAAACTCAGGTTGACATGTTTCACAAAGACGATTTAATTGATAGGTTCGCTTTAATTAGTGCTGACACATTGGGTGTGTGACAGATTCTTCGCCGTGCTAATAGGATTATTGTGAGCATTGCCTTGACATTTGAGTGTTGTCTTCAGTTTTTTGTCACCTCTGCGTCTCCAGGGGATGAAACGAGATCGGTTATATCAGCATTTGCCGCTTTGGGCTCGTTGACTCTGTGGGCTGAGGATGGCGCAGGGAGGCTCTCAGCTCGACTACAACATCCTGCAGGACCTCAAACAGCGTTTCCCAGAGATCCCAGAGGGGGTAGTGTCACATTGCCTTCTGCAGGTACACACACATACACACACACACATTTAGTCTTGCATATGCTCAAAAAAGTGTTTGAAGAATGTTGAGAAATTGTAACCGTAAAGAAGGTTGTTTTAGGGAGAGAGATGAGATGAGAGAGGGAGGGATATATTGCTAAATTGGAATTATCTGGTTACCAACTTCTAGTTTTAATAATGTATACTGGACAAGACAGTAAGATGAGCAGTTAAAAGACTCATGGTGATCCACACTGCATGACTGAGACACATCTTTGTTACTGTCTTAGAACAATAATAACCTGGATCTCTGCTGCCACCTGCTGGCTCTGGAGAGTAATAGATACCTGTATGGAGACTTCCATCACAGTCCGGAGGAGGGACGGCTGAGCCGAAACCATATGCTACACATTAGCCTGGGCTACCCAGGCTCAGAGGCAAGCAAGGCAAATGGAGGAGCAGCAGGTGTAGGGCGCTCCCTAGTGCACAGCACCAGTGATAGTCACATCGAACCCCAGCGGCCCAGTTACCCTGAGCCACTGTCGGCCCCTGCCACCATGGCCCCCTCCCCAGGTTACAATCCTTTCTTCATGAACGATCAGAGCCGGTCTGCTAGCACTCCCACCCCTCCACCCACAATTCAGGGCATGTCTCCTACATACTCCCCAGTCCCACGTTATACTATGAACCCTATAACAGTCACACTTGCGCAAAGTATACCCAGTGTCCCACAGGCTCTGCAGATACCTCCGGGGCATTACGCTAACAGCACCCTGTATATTCGACCCTCGCCCTCCCAGAGTCCACAGCCGGCACCCTGGTCCTCCTCAGGGGCACCCGTGTATCAGCATCAGCAGTCCCCCTACAGTACTCCCACATATGGTTCTCCTTACAGCTCCCCGCAGCATCAGGTCCAGCCACCACAACCACAGCCCCAGCCTCAACCCCAGCACCAGCAGTACGTCTTCCTCCCGATTAGCTCCCCAAACGTTCCCAGCATGCCCTACCATCACCAGCAACAACCCCAGCAACAGCCAGCAATTTACAGACCCTACCACACAAAAAGTTCCCTAAAGAACCCAATAGAAATTACCCTGGAGGGTCCACGACCTCGCAGCAACTCTCCTGTACACAATCCCCACTCCCAGGGAGCGCTTTACATGGCCACCAGCCCCTCGCCCAGCTCCCCTTCAAGGGGTATTGCGATGAGTGGACCTCCTGGCCCAGCAACCTTCCACCCTGGGATGTACCTGCAGCATCAGGGCCCTGCAAGGCCTCGGCCTGCCTCCTCTCCTCAACCGGGCCAGTCAGCCTACACCTTCAAAATCAAAGTGTCCCCTGGAGGCCAGGCCCAGAGGCCACTAAGCTCACCTCCTGTGGCTGAAGCAGAGTCTCTTCTGAACATAGTAGACCAAGGGGAGCACAATGCAGCCCCAGCACCCATCTTGCCCATCTCTGCTCTACCAGGGAACGTTGCCAGTCAATTTCAGCATATGCCTCGACGTTCAAGTTCAGGCTCTGATGACTATGCCTACACACAAGGTAAGGGATTCTCATTTGTTTTTTCTATTGCTCTGCGTGTGTGTCTTTCTGTCACTAGCCTTCAGCCCAGTGGTTCTCAAAAAAAGTTCATGCATTTATTACATTGTTCAGCCCCTGTACCTTAATGTCAGCATTAGGCTTGTTTATTGGTATGAAGTAGTAATGGAGAACTAAAGTGAGAGAAGGATTTACATTTTGTTTGTTTGGTTTTTTTTTTTCCCCTTCAGCTCTACTGCTCCATCAGCGGGCCAGGATGGAGCGTCTACTGAAGGAACTGCTGCTAGAGAAGCAGAAACTAGAGCAACTCAAGGCCGATGTCAACAATATGGAATATGACGCCCTTCAAAGACGCTTTCGACGAGTCAACTCCACCAGTTTGATACCCAAAGTAAGGACTAATCGTGTATTTGGAGTTGGACTCATTGTTTGCTCTTTATAATTTGTAGTCTCTGCAAATCTTTTTATGCTTTCAGCTAGATTGTAACTGACATTCTGGGTTTGAATCAGGCTTTGGACTTGGGTCATGGGTGCTGTTTAAAAGGCAGGAAAAAGAATCGTACAAAGTGATGTGTAAAACCTGTAGAAGACATTTGAAATGAGGAATGGGGGGATATTTGGTGGTCTATTTTTGTTTAATCTAACTGGGTTGTGGGTTTGCACCGGCTGCAGCCTGAAGAGATGACCCGATTGCGGAGTCTGAACAGACAGCTTCAGATTGATATCGACTGTACCCTGAAGGAGACAGATCTTCTGCAGTCTAGAGGTATACGTACACATACACACGCACACACATAAATGCACAGTCCTACACATAACATTTTGAAGTGTGTCTCTGATTTATTTGAAAGCATTGATCTTGAAAGAGCCAAGCCCAGAAGCAGACAAAGTTGGGTCCAAAGTGATTGATGAGGCTCCATCAAATAGGAGATGCTGCATACAGATGCAGCGTTCTAAAATGACTGCTGGTCCATGACAGGACCCAGGCTGTTCCATGGTTGTCCCTCATTGGGCTCGTGCGCTGTGACTGGCTGGTACATGATTGTTGTTGATTACGTGATTGATAACGGCGTTGTCACAAAATGCCACACAGTATGTGGATATTAGTTCCAGTGCTTTATATATTTACCCTTAGGCCTTGTTCACACTACACGATTTTAAGCCGATTTGCTGGTCAGCGAGCTCGGTGACCGTCAGGGTTATTTCAGCGGCCGCCAGTCATTATGTATGAACTACTCAATGATGCATCAGAACAGTTTCCTGACACATCACTGACACATCGCAGACGCCAACTAGATATCTAGCATACCAAATATCTGGAGGAGTCGGGCAACTCGACATCCACATAATTACTATCTTTATAATAACAAACAGCTGTTTTGCTTGTAGGTTTGCGTCATTTCACATGTCACGCGTGTTTTCTTGAAAAAACATCGTTTGGAGACCAGCGTCGGGTGACACAGCTGCAGTCAGCTCGTGTAGCTTGTATGACGCCACAACGACTTCAAGACTCCCGTCACAAGACGGCAAGTTGTATAGTCTGATCAGCATGGGGATCGGCTGACACTAAAAGTCGTGTAGTCTTCACGAGCCTTTAGTGGTGTTTTGAGAGGCTGAAACAGTCTAACTGGCAGCAAGCTCATGAGTGTGACTAATTTACTTGCAATCAGCCCAGTGCCCATTGGTGATTTTAGATTAGGTTCTTAAGCATGTCTAAATTAATCTCAGCACCCCCTAAAACATTTCTTAAATTATTATTATTATTCCCCGTGACCCTATACGTAGGACAAGCGGTTAACAATGGATGGATGATTATTATTAAAAATAATTTTTGGCCCTCCGGTTAGCTTCAGGCCTTAATTGTACTGGATCCTGCAGAACAGGATCCAGTACCTCCTAGATTGTAACTGGCAACTACATGATCCAGAATATCCTTTGTCACTATCAAAATCTGAAAGCCCAACATATACAGGTAAACACATCTGTAGGTGGTGTAATGCTTTTTGGTGTCTAAATAATGTTGGCATAGGATTACTGTAAGCCCCACAGCTAAACAAATGGGTGTTTTTGCTGTGAAATGAGTTTGGCTAAATTAAGCGTAATTAATGCGCATGTCGGTGCAGAGTTGTCCATAGTACTGAAACGGAGCGGAAGAGAACGACAGACGAAACACGTCACTTAGTTTAGTTGGTTTTTGTCGTTGTAAATAAAACTTTCAGTCCCAACTTTCCCCTATTGGAGAGAGATTATTTTTTCTTATGATCTTGTATATTATTTTATCTGTGTCTATCTGTATAATAGCACAAAAAATGTTATTTTGCGCTTGCTTTGGTAATGTAAACTGTGAACAGCTGTTTCTAAGCACCTCCACCTGCTGATTTTCAGTGATTTATTGTGAATGCTCTGATTAACAAATGTAAATAAATAATGCTTTGTTTGTGATGACCATTTAGTTTAGTATCAGCATCACAGATGACAGGATGTAGACGCGATGTAGACTTCTGCATGCGCAGTGTGAATGTGGTAGCGGTTTGAATTAGGGAAGAAAACATTATGACAGAAGCAGAACAAGAATTGAGGAGAGCTGTCTGTCATGTTCTTTTAACAGTTGCTCAGTACACTGAGGAAAATTTTGAACCGGACTATGTTTTGAGGTTGCAGATGACCAGATAATGGCCCTTGCACACACACAGTAAATGCTTTCCTGATTCATACTGCTACCACATTCACATTTGCAAGTCCCCTGCGTATCTACTTCCTGTTGTCCGTACTAATCCGCCAAAGCAGGATTCATGTGTGCAGGAATTGACTACTCAAGTTATCATCTAATAATAATTATCATTTTGTTATCATATTTATTTTTATATTTCCACATTAATTTTTTTAATTCTTTTACAGATTTGTTTTTATGGCCTCCTATGATGAAAGAGACAGAGGCCCTAATATTGATATCACAAATACTCTGTTTGCTTCATTATCCTGTTAGGTCATTTTCTAGCTGCATACAATATGATTGAGAAATTATGGGAAAGAGAGCGGGAAGAACCAGGTGAGAAAGTGGACAGAGTGTAGTCAAGATTGTTATGTCACCTTCTCATTAGGGGCTGAGCCCCTGTAAAGGTGTGATCCTAGAATCGCCTCTGCAATTGCCAATGAACATTTGGACCGTGGACTTCCTGTAAAAAAATCCTGGAGCATTCTTCTGCTTTGTTTCCGTCTTCCAAAATGCTTTTTGGCAAACACTCAGGTTGTTTTTAAAACTGGCTTTCTATATGCCTGTCTTTTTATAAAGATGCAAAAGGGGAAGCGCCCGGGTAGCAGTTGTGATATGTACAGTGTCTCTTTTTTGAGCCTTTGAAAGCTGGCTTCCCCTCACCAGTGCCCTACTCACACTCAATGTGTAGAGGTTGGCCTCCTCCGTCAATGAATGAATCTGAACTTAAAGCAAAAAAAAATTGGATTAACAATGCTTGTTTATGCATTGTAATTCTTTCAATGTTATACTATAAAAGCTCATGTCAAAATGAATGTTCAAAATTAGGGCTTAATAGTTACACAGGTTGATACAACTATGTATTAGTGTTCCTGTTATTAATGTAGAAATATTATTTAATTATTTGTGTTCTTTGTTTTTGGTGGCTTGTAAAATATTTGATACTTGGGTCTGTGACCAGTGTTTTGAACGGCCAAAACTCACAGTTGTAGAGAATAGTTGAAAGGGTGGATGTTGTTGTTGTAGGACTTTAATCGTGTTTAATTGTCTGGGTTTGTAAATGGGTAATTTGTGTGAGTGATCTTTGCATGCCCCTTGAAGCTCAGCTTTCATACACTCAGAAAGCAGCTTATTGAGGTAAAGAACTTTGCTTCCAGAAGATTCTATCCACTTGGGTTTAATCGGTACAACATGTTAACATCTGGCTGTAAGCCTGTAGCTGTTAGGCCTATATTTCTTTGTGATGCTGATAAAACTATGCTAGTCAACAATAAAATCAAAAATATGTTGAGAATTGTGTTATCAATCTGAAAGGGACAAGGCACCCCATTGGCCATATAAACACTCACGAAGAGTGAGTTTCCTTATGTCATGTTGCAGCAAACTTAAAAATGTGTCTCATCTGTCCAAGTGAAGCCAGAAAGAACAAGGTGCCATCTTCTGGCAAAATCCTGTAAAAGTGTGAATTGTGGTTGAATTGGCTTATTTATTGTAGCATCGGGGATTGTCCTAGTTGTTCGGACCAAATTAAGCGCTGCATTAACGAAACAAAAGGCACTGTGTTGTTCGGTTGGGGCGTGTTGCTTCGGGTGCTAGTAAGATGATTAAATACAATCCAGGATGGTCAGTTTGAGTAATGGCACCATTCATTTTTCAATCACTGCTTTTTGGATGCCAAAACACTGCAGTGGTTTATAGTACTATGTGACATAATTTTACAACTCAAAGTTATTACAGCAATACTTCTTCTTTCTTACTCTGTCTCGACAAACCTGTGGTTTACGCCGTCACAAATTAGTCATGATTTTGATTGGCCAATGTAGTGCATATCTAAGTGATGTCTTATTACGTTAAATGCTGTCTTATTACGTTAACTGTGGTGCAACTACCCTGGGTCTTGTTTTTGCTGGAGTCCCCTGCGTTTCAATGAGTTAGGAGGCTGTTATTGTCGACCTGAACACGGCCGTCAAATCAAGAGAATGGCTGGAAAGTGATTGGACTGATTAGACCTCTGGTTGGGATGGGCACTTCTAAACAAACTTCTGTGTCTGGTTTCTGCTTTCCTCCACAGGGAAGTTTGACCCAAAAGCAATGAACAACTTTTATGACAACATTCAGCCAGGTCCAGTGGTTCCGCCCAAACCTGGGAGGAAAGGTAAGAATTGTCCAACGCAGTTTATGGTGTATGTGTAAAGAAGAGGGGAAGGGGGAGAAAAAATAAAGGTTCTACAGGGTAAAATTATGCGTTATAACTGTCACCAATATGTAGACTTTAATGCAAGACCATTAAGGTAATTACTTGCATACTGTATTTGTCTTATTCAGCTTCCAGCATGTTGAAGATTTGGGACATTTTTATTTGAAAGCTGAGACTAAAAGCTTAACTGACTTTGGTCTGTATTGACCTTCACCAATCTGTTGGCATGGAAACTAGATGAGAAATCTTGCTGTTTGGTGAAAGCCCGTGTCAATCAACATTTATAGGCTACTGAATGGTTGTTGCTTGAATGCATGCCTCACATGTCTGTTTAGTGACAGTCATGGTTAATTCCAGCCCAGAGTGGATGACACTTAAATTGTTGTTGCTTTAAGCACACTGTCACATGAACAAACAGCCCTTTTCTCCCTTGTTCTTGTTAGAAGAGGAGCAGGGCTCCAAGCCAGTACCAGGGCCCCAGAGGGACGAGGACTTCGAAGGCGCCCAGTGGAACTGTGAAAGCTGCACCTTCCTCAACCACCCTGCACTCAACCGCTGTGAACAGTGCGAGATGCCGCGCTACACTTGAGCTTAGCGCTGTGCTGTATTGCCCGCCCCTGCCCCGTCCCTTGCCAATCATTGGATAGTAAAAGCCGACCCCTCCAAAATCTGCAGAATCTATCTAGAGGTCTTCCCCTGTCAATCAATATATAAGCCCCTCTTACCTGCTGAGGAAGAGCCACTATCCCTCTCTGCCCACTTGTCCTGCTCCCATCTACTACTTCTGTGCACTTTGACCCTTGTTTCCATTGGGGGATGATGATCCTTTTTTTTTTTTTAGGACAGCAGGAGACTCTTCTCATGTCACATGTATAGAAGATGGAGTGACACACTGCGACTCTGGCAGTGGGTAGGATGGGGCTTCAGAAAGGTCAAAGTGATTGCCGACTGAGGAGCTACGGATTACCTAGAGAACATTCCACACAGAATGAGTGGCTGCCCTGTTTACACAAAGTACCCATTCCTGAACTCAAAATGGAGGCACTTCCACTTTATTCCAGGACCTGTAACTCCCTCTCTGACAGTGGAACAATGAAAGCAATGGTATATGTATACTCTAATGCGAAACGTAGACTGTACACTGTATCTGGCTCTGTATTGGAGCTCATTTCACTGAAGGAAGAACACTAAAGACACTTGCATATGAGTATATTCCTGGTACTTTTATGCATATTATGCCACCCTGTATTATGTGTTCGAAAGATGTTGATGATTTCCTGTGCAAATGCCTCAACTTGCTGTACTTAATAAAGGAGCTGATTCTATGTGACTTGACCATGCGCAGCTGGCACGTCTGCATAGTTTGTCATAATTCACAGATGCTCCTCTTTTTTTTCTTCCCTGCCAAAATGAACCAAACACACTTTTTTTTTTTTTTTTTTTTTTTTTTTTCCTCCAGTACATGATTTTATTATGTTAGAGTCCAACTAATGGGAATCAGAAACACAACAGCAAATGGTAGTGGCATGCGTACACTGACTCGCTTTCACTAATGTTGCAAGAGGGAGTTGGAGAAGTTTCGGACCACCTTGAATGAGGTTTGAGAAGAGCGGTATTAGGAAAGCAGATCAGTGCAGGTCTCCTGCCCGCATAGGTCTTACCTCTCCTCACCACACTGTCCCCCTTCAGGTTTGAAACTTCTTTTCTTGATTGATCCATTGTCTTCATAATGCATGCATATCACTTTACACTCTGGCATCTCCTAAAGCACTTTATAATGGGCCTTAACTTGGATGTGAAAACTAAAAAGTATGCTGACCTGTTCAATAACTACAATGGTTTTCTGCTACAGCCTCTCTCCCTATCTGAAGACTGAGAGCATTCCCATTTCCTACAGGGTGAGACGAGCAACAGGCATCACATGGGGTGTGAGGGGTGTAAACACATGCTGGGTGGTATGATCAGGCAGACATGCTCACACACTCAGCAGACATGGTCATCTTCCTTCCCACTGGTCTTCTTGAAATGAATATTACTTTATTATGCTTACTGCACATACTTACATATAATACAACTTTTTATTTATCAAAAAGCAGGTATAACTTGGGTTATGCAGCCAAAGGTTTTACCACTGACACTTTCCTCTCACCAGTATGATATCATTTAGAAGGTGGCTGTGGAATGTTTTACAGTCATAGGAAGCCTCTGTTTATTATAAGTAGATCTGACCCTGTAAATAGACTCAAATAGGAGAGGAACACATAAAGCTAGTCCTTTTAAGCTTTATGACATACGTTTCCCATTTTTTCTGGCGGAAGGAGGCTAGGTCAAGTTCCAGATGTAATGTATCTCTGGGGAAATGTAGCATGTCGCATTTCCTTAGGTGTGCCCTGTCTTCCATCACTTTGTCATCCTCACTTCAATAGGATGTTTTCATCCCTGGATCCGTTCCTTCCCTGATTGGCCTGAGTTTGCATCATTCTTTGCCTTCTCTGCTCTGATTTAGTTAATTAGCCCACCAATTCGTCCTGGTATGGGGTCAATCCATCTGTTCCTTCCAGGTTTTCTGCCCAAATCTAAGACCTACTGGAGTTCCACATAAAGGGGACACAGACTTATCTGAGTGGTGGCGTTCTCTCCCAAATATAATTGGCTGCTTTTGGATTTCTTTTATACACAGCCTGGTTTGCGGCCAAAACTTCAAAGAGCATGGGGATTCGGTCCAATAAGTGAGGATAGTCTTTGATACAATAAGTATCAAATGAAAGAGCTTATTTTCCTGTCATTAAACTAACAATAAGCATTTGTTTTTCCTATTTTTCTGTGGTTGTGCACTGTGTAACAGACAGAAAGGTCCCATTACTGAGAGGACACTGGGTGGAACAGAGGTCTCAGTTTCTCTTCTTGTCTGAAATATTTTAGTAGTAGTCTTCATAATTCTTGGGGTTGAGGCAATAGAGGATGGCTCCGCCAAAAGAGAAGATGGTGGATCCCCAGGCCAGGCCGTAGCCCCAGTTAAACTCATGGTACACCCTCAGACTGACTGTCTCTATGAACTTGATGGGGAACAGGACCAAGCTGCATACCTGGAGCACCACTGCAAAGGAAAAGGGGAAAGGGAGTAAGATCAAAATAAGTGTGGTAAATGCATATAGAATTATAAAGATTAAAACAAAACTGGAAGGAGAGAGGTACAAGGCATTCTGACCACTAAAATCCTTTATTTAAACAGTGCCATGGCTCTTTCCCCTGACAGCCAGCCTACCATGGATATGGATGGACAATCATTGCTTTGTATTTTTGGACTATCCATCAGCTCTTCCTTGTTTTCTTTTTTAGTGTGCTGTTTTGCATCCAATAACAGAATCTTTTTACGTACCGGCAGAGAACAGCATGACAGCCACAGGCTTATAGCAGCGACTCCTGGAGCTGAAGCACAGGGAGATCAGCGCCACGAGGAAGGAGAGCAGGGTGAGGGCTGCCCCCCCTAACAGTAAGGCCAGTGTGGCAATCTGCCAGTCTGAGACAAACACACACGCACACACAGGGAAGTGGGGGAGGGGGGGTAGAGGCATGAAATCACACTGAGATGGCAAGTGACATAAGTAGCTAAAACAGGGTTACTCTGGAGGGCAGTGTCTGTGCTGCTGACAGGAGGGAGGAAAGCGGATAGGCAACACAATAGGTCACAGGCCATGTTGGTGAGCCACAGTAACACTGCCATGCTCCATCTCACACAGGAGAAAAATGATTCCCTGAGGTTTTTGGCGAATTAGTGTAAACAAACTTATTTTTGTGGTTCAGAGGCTGAGGCAACTCCTTGTGCATATTCGGGGGAGCTGGCAATAGCTCATAATGTTTTGATGTGAATCCCTAGGGATCCACGGCCAACGGCAAGAGGAAGAATGTGAACCATGCAGTGAATAACCCTCAAACCGAACACAGTGGTTTCTGGCTGACAAGAAACAAACAGATGCACACACACGCCTGGCTACGCACGGATGTCAGCAATTCAGTAATGAATCCCAGTGCAGCAGAAAAGTGATTCTGTGAGGTGACTCAGATAATGAGTATCCCTGCCTGATGGCTGATGCCAGCTCAGCAGCATTCTCAGCATTTCAGTCAGATTTACTCCAAAAACACTTAACTGGAAATAACTGTCGCCTTAATCTCGCTTGCCTATCCTTGTTGGAAGGCCAAAGTGAGAACAAAATAGTTTGTTCAGAAGAAATCACTACAGCAGAAAGGGCACGTTTGAGAAAAACGTTTTTTTAGAGACTTAATTAGCCATGGGATGTTAACTGAGGATGGATGAGAGACACATACTATGTTATTGTTTAGAGATTAAGGGTCTCTTTCGTAGCTTGAATGTGTACTTGCGGAAACAGGAGGTCTATATGTAAACAGGCAGAGGATATTATGATGAGGCATTTGATTACACTGGAGGAAATCATTTAAAGTACAGTGGGTGGGAAAAAAATAACATCAAAGCATAAAGGGATTGGGCCCAGCAAAAGTAATTCAGCATTACAGTGGTTGGAGACGTTCAAAATAAAAGACTTTAGAAGATGTTTTGTCTTTTTTTTTTTTTTACAAACTATACATGGTTTTGTCTATTATGGAACCCAGGAAAATAAAAAAAAGATTATACATTGCAATGAATTTCCTCTATTGAGGCAGAAAATCATTAAAACATTCACCAGAGGAGAGAAAGTGACGGAACATAAGCTGCTTAAAATACAGTTCCCACTCTTGTTGGAGGGAAACTTTATTCCAGGGGCCAAGCAGCTCAAATATAAACAAACATCAACTACTCTTGACCAAATATGGCTCAGGATTTAGAGTTTAAAAATGGGCCTTTGTCACCACAGGATGTTGGAAAGAGCCCACAAAAAGCAGAGCACCCGCTCCCTCCAGCTTGCAGGGCACAGGACCCCCTTAAAGCCTGGCCCCTTGACTTTCTCTTCCACTGCCTCGCTGGCTGTCTCTCAGCAAAGGGCCACAGTGACTTGACCTGTAGTTGGTGAGATATCTTCCCCAGGTCAGTTTGGTGCCTTCAGCCCAGCCAGTCTGCAACCGAGAGCCTTATCAGAGCGCCCATGAAACAGCAGGATGCAGAAAGTCATCTCATTTCAGATTTGGAACAGACACTGTACGCTGTGCAAGAAACACAGCCAGAGTTGGGAGTGCTTAAAGGCTTTGACGAGCAGGAAGTGCCAAACTATTAATCTCAGCCTTGCATGATGACAGATGGAAAAGGAGATACAGTACACAAGATCCAATCTGAGAATTAATTACGGTCCCACGTGTGCATGTCAGAGACTGCTGAAGTGCTGATCAAAAAAATCCTTCAGGGGGCCCAATTTTGTTTGTTTGTCTGAGACAATGGTGGAAGATCTGTGTCACAGAAGAGCCTTGAGTGTCTCTCTTACTGTCACACACACTAAGTCTCACTCTCAGTGAGGAGGAAGATATTTAAGAAGCAGGAAGATCTTCAGCCACAGGTCTCTGGTTCAAGCAATGAGTAAGATGCTGAGTGTTTACAAGTTCTCTGTATCCAACATTGTGCTGTGACCTTGTGCTTAAAAGAGAGGAGAATCACCCAAATGTGGGGTCGATAACATATTACATTATTAATAGGCTATGCTTAGCGATCACTGAGCCGGACTCGCTCACATGCTGGCTCCACATTCGTCCCTTCATCTCGCACCAACCTGGCACCCACAGATGCCGCTCTTGCACGACCGTTCCACATTCATAGCCCTTTGTCAAGCCTGTATCTTTTATACTTGACCTCTGACCCGATGCCTAAATGTACTTGTATGTGAGAGAGAGAAAAACTGAGTGGAAGTGATACCCTTTGTGTCTGTTTATTTTAAACACTTCATGAGCATGTAACAAGGCAATATCTCATGCCCCCTTTCTAATTCAAACTGCATATTATTGTGGTTTCCCAGACAAGCACACATGCAGGCCTCGCAGAACAAGCTCGAAACATCTGAGCGGCCAGCTAGTGTTTCAAACTAACAGGATTTATTTAATGCCCAGAGCATGACACTGAGGAAATATTGGGGGGCCGACAAGGGGGGTAGAAACTGATTACTGGGATTCAAATCAATAAGCCTTGCCAAGCACAAGCCTGAGGAAATGGGAAGTTTGCTGTGTGCATTTACTGTGGCATGCTGCTGCTGCTGCTGCTGCTGAGAGCTAAGAGCTGACACGGAGACTGCATGTCTTTATATGGCACCAAAGTGCACTTTGTCTGCGCTGACAGAGGAGGATCGGGGCCAGCGTGACCCTCAGTTACTCATCTCTCAGACAGAAAGAAAACATTTTG